TACAGCATTACTGACCCTGCGGCTCAACTCTATCCGAAAAAATCAAGGGTCCAATCCCCGTCCTTGGAACCCCAGGGTCCGATCAACACCTAGGCTTTGACATATGCAAACTTCTCACCCACTCGACCTCCCGCATACTCAAATACCCGAGACGAAGACATGTGAAGTCCATCGGACGTTTCCGGCCATGACATCAAACCCTTGATCGTTGGCCCACTACACGCACTACCGTATGACTTACTCCATTCTCCACCGTGGCTCTCCACACGACAACTGCGTTGAGCACAGGACATTCAGTTGACAGTTGGGCTCTGCACTCCAGTCTCCACACTTGTAGCGAGAAAGCCGACGAAACTCATTTTCCTGCGTGGGTGAGCGAGCCCCGCATTGGGCCGTGGACTAGGTCTTTAGCACAATTGCTGCAAACTCGAACTGTTGAGAGTGGGTCTTCCATCCCATCACGTCCACCCCTTACTTACCCTATCCCGCCATCTCTCTTCTCTTACAAGCCACGCGTTGAGTGTTCCATATTTCCTGATCCGACTTCTCGCTTGTGCACCAATAAATGGCGGATGTGTAGCGCGACGCAGTGAAGCGCCTCGCTCAGCCCCGCGGAAAATCACATTGACCCCCCGGCTATAGTTATGGCCGATGATTCATTCAGTTCGACGTCGGACGCAAAATAGGTGGGCGCTGTGGAGACGATGGATGGGGAGTCACTCGGCGGAAGCTAAGGCTGCGTGAGGAAGGCTTCCGATGCTTGCGGGACGGAGATGATAGTTGTAGAGGCGCGATGGGCGCGATGCAACGGGTGGATATTGGTCGGGAGGTTTCACGGTGGTGAAGATCGTGTCGCAGCTGTTGAATACAGTATACTAGCGATGAGTAACAGTGGGACATGGGAGAGGAGCAATTTGCACGTTGGGATCCTAGAAGACTCTAGAGGTAAGCGGAACATGTTGCATTCGGATGGTACGTATTTCTGTATCGGGAGAGTATCATTTCTAAGCGCACAATCTTGCCAAAGCTTCTCTCCCAGCGTGTAAGGTCTTCCCGCCTCGTCCTACGCAAATTCATTCTCCTTCCTCAACAAAGAGACCGTAGGCAGTGTCACGTTCGCAGTTGGTATGACTGTTAGAGTAAAGTTGGCAATTGGCGAACCGGTGAGGGTAGGAAAGCTTGTTACGACTGGTGGATTGGGTCCCAATTCACATGGATGAGGTCCAGGACGAGGCGTAGGTTGGTAGAGGTTGCTGCACTGCGAGGTGTTAGTATAGCGCCTTCATTTCAGGGAGAACGTGAGTCACTTACGATGCGTGTTGGTGTTGGACATCCACCCACGGCTTGCATGTAACAGCCGTACGAGAAGTTCTCTTCGAAATGGCAGCTCTGGGGCTTGTGTTAGATCAACCATAATCTGCTGAATCCATCGTCTCATGTACGTCAACCTACCTGTAGTGCATCAGTTGCCCAGCATGGGTACCTAGCTGTCGCTAATTGACACTGGCATTTCTTCGTAAAGATTGGGATTGGCTCCCAATGAGGTGGCCTTTTCGACGAACTCAACTCTGGGTCTTCATCGTCGTCGTCGTCTGAACTGGGGTCACTCGTCGGGAAAGCTGTGACTGGGATGTTCAGCGAAGTGGAATCCGGCATGGCAATAGTGGATGTCGGTAGGATTGCTGAGAGTGAAATGAGAGTTGCTCCTGGAGGGATCGATATGTCTGTAGCTTGAGGATATGGAACTGCTAGCACCAGCGCTGCCAGAGCACTGAGCAAGACGAAGGTGCGCATTCTGGTAACTTGTTGCTAGTCCTGGTCAATTGCAGAAGTGACTGATGAATGGCAAGGCTGTGAAGTCTTGGTTGTATCATTGAGCCTCTTCATTCTATGTAACCGTCATCGCTCCACGGTGCCTCTCAGAACCACATTGTTTTACGATGCTCTTTAGATTGCGATTGTCAAGGTTCGCTTCGCAGTGGTATGCTATTGCTCAGATCAAGTCTTCTGCCATCAACTTGCGACAAAATTTGCAGTCGCGTACGCTGTGAAGTTATACATAGCAGCAAAATCTGCGTCTGTATTTACCAGCGCGTATTCCATGGTGTGGCTACTTTACCGTGATTGTGAAGTGCCGAAGGCCGCGCGGCTGATTGGCTCCTTCTATGCGTCTTAATCTGAACTCGATATACCCTTACATCGGGATAAATGGCCTAAATTGGAGGATTCGTGGCAGCCAAAACCGAACATGGACGTTGGACGGCACACCCTCTACCAGAAATTCCGACCATAGGACCTCCACGGATATGCAGCCGCCTTATCAAGGTGATCGTCAATACTTGACGTCGTAGTGGGAAGACCCGAAGAATCCATAACGCGTCATGTGGCTGCAGTATGATCTCTTCTCATGCCTCAGAAGCGCCCAAGGATTTGATATGACGAAAGACGAGGCCGTTCCTTGAATCGGTTGAACGAATCCTTTGACAAGCGGGAAGGCTCAGCCCATGTATGTGGCGTACACCTCATGCAAAGCTTGGCTCGAAGCAGCCTCCTGGCGTGCGACGACCCGTTTAGGACGTCCTGATGGAGTGTTGGTGCTCCCACCCTGTCCTCAACATGTGGAAGCATGCGTCGCAAGCTGCACTTCGCTGATCAGGGTCCGAACGGTCTCGGCCGCTTGTGTCTTGGAAATGAGGGGTCCAGGTCCGTCGTTTGGATTGTTATTTCCCTAAAACCCATGTAAGCTTGTGAAGTGTGGCCTGGTGTGCTGAGGTGCCGTGATATGCACTCCGCCATCAGCATGGAGCGGAGACGAACTGTGGAGACACATCCACCGTTCAATGTTGTGAATATGCCTGGTGGAGTGATGTGCGAATTTGCAAACCTTGAACGTTGCGCTTTGCTAATAGAATTTGTTATCGGTGCGAACCAAAGATTGGCGATACAAGAGGTACATTGAGGTACTTCGAGATACTAGGTGGGTCGGCATCCCTCACGCCAGCCTGTCCCAGCACACCTGGGCATCTTGTGCAACACAGGCTACGCGCGGGTTAGCCTCTGATGACATATATTGCCACTTGGTGTTGAGATCGAGAAAATTCAGCGGTGGACAACACGAAGCTGACTGGATGTTTTGCAAATCAGTCAGTGAAATTGAAGGTTGTGCAATCGTGGGCACAGCAGCATCAGCATCTGAGTGCAACTTAGTAATCGAGGCATGTGATTTGGCGGCAGACGCTCGGGCCTATGACGAAGTTCGCGATGCCGAACTTCACGAACTGCCAAACGTCGGTCAGGTCGTCGCGTCAACCATTGCACAAGATCTTGTAAGCATGTTACTCCCGTAGCACACAAATAATGCGACACATCAGAGGCAATAGCTGACATTCGTTTCATAGCCCCTCATACCGCAACAATGGCACCATCCAGGGCTATTCTTCTTCGCCGCATAGCCTCCGCAGCCACAGCGCCATGCTTACGACCGACTTCGCGTCTCCTCACAACATCTACCTCTGCACTATGTAGAACACAACAGTCGTCAGTCTTGCGATCGAGCCTATCACGACAGTCACATTTGCCCACGCTATGCACGCGATCATATTCGCAGTCAGCCAGCGCGGCGCCTGAAGCACCGGATTACCTCAACGAGGCAGAATTACACGTCTTCAACAAGATCAAAGCGGAATTGGAGCCCGTGAAGCTGGAGGTATGTAATGCTTCCCCGCTTTCTCGCTTGGAGATGCGTATGTGCGGAGTCAGGAGTGCTATGCGTTGACCACACCGATCGCACGACCGACTACTGCACCGCGAGCATGCACGTCATATCAGTATTGCGGGGTATATTGCAAGTCTGGATGCACATTAGATGTCGAAGCATTAGCAACACGTCTGCAGAATATGAGTGTGCTTCAGTTAGTGTTTGAACGATTGCTGACATGTAGGGCACAGGTACAAGATATCAGCGGCGGCTGCGGGTCCATGTATGCCATCCAGATCGAGTCCCCCAAGTTCCAAGGCTTGACGGTCATCAAGCAACACAAGATGGTCAATGAAGTGCTGAAAGACGAAATCAAGAGCTGGCATGGTGTACAGCTTAGGACGAAGGCTGCTTGATCGCGGCTCGAATACGAATTGTATATATGCTGTACGACTAATGTATAGTTGATAGTTATGAGACAGAGCTTCATGAACATTGTGTCGGACGCCTTGGTTGTGACTCGTTAGTCACTTGATAGTCTATCGCAGCTGCCTTGCTTCGCATGCTGCGATCCAGGCCGAAGTAAACGACTACTTTGGGAACCGAGGGCACGTTCAATTACGATTTTGAACACCAAAAGCTAAAATCAACGAGGGAGTAGCCAAGCTTGTCGAGCTAGGGGTTCAGCGAAGGCAGACATGGCAGCGGAAAATGCCGTAGCTCCTAAGCTCTTGTTGTAGGTCATGATATCAGACAAAAGCGCCAATAACCTTCGACTCTGATTGAACCTAGATACCAAGTACAATGAAAGCCTGAAAACCATACGCACTGTCCTCTTTTTCCTGGAAACTATTCATCGTCGTCGGTATCATAGCTGTTGCTGATCTCTAATACGTCTCCATCTGCTCAAAGATCAGAATATTGGCTAGATTAGTGGTACGCGGTAGCGCCCGTCCATGAACTTACAAGTCTCGATCTCTCCCGACCAATTGCACATAACCAACCGGCAACCAGCGTAGTCTGACACCTCAGCGTCAGGAAATCTCGCTCTAAGTTGGCCTGGTACATCGACACTGCGATCGGGGTAGTTCACACGATTATTACTCGCATCGACCCCTTCATCATGTCTCTCAAATCCAAACAGCCGGATGGTTCTCAAATCCGGGCAAGCCTCAGAGTCGAGTAACTCAGGAAGCATTATTTTGATAAAACGATCGTAAGAAGGGCCATTCGCACATTCTCTCATATACGACTGCGGAGGTAGATGTATGAAATCAGTGTATGTTTCACATGCGTCAATACGTCACAAACTGACCTTGTTACTGTTGCTATCCCCCGTGTTCTCTTCTGCGACGGGTCGTTGATCGAGGATAAGGTGTTGCAGCGTCTTTCGTGTTGCTCTAAACAGAGCGCTCCACTCCCTAAGAATTCGTTCGTCGGAGGGCGTAGAATAGTACATCATCCTTTGCTCGTACTCGGTACCAACTCCAGGCTTGCAAAGATGTAGTGTCTTGAGACTTGCCAGTCTCGATATGCTTTCAGGAACCAGGCATGCAAGAGCACGAGCGGTAACGTATTCTTGACCCTCCAAGTCCACCTCTACGACTTTCGTACGCCCTTCTTCCGTCATCTCTTCTAGATAATCAAATATCTGATCCTCTGGTACAGCATTCTCGGAATCCGACCAGCCTATTGGACGGTCCAAGACGGCCAAATGAAGTTCCTCGATCCGATCAGGTTCCGTGAGAAGCCATCTGACAAATTCCTCGGGGAAATAACCTCGCAATTTGAGCGTCTTCAAATTTTGCAATCCCGGCAGCTGTACCTTGGATTCATCCAAGCCTGAATTTGGTTTCCAATAACACGAGATCTCTAGATGCTCCAAATTCACAAAATGTGCAAAGCTTCGGGCCATGCTATTGGATGCGGCGAAATGCGTCGGCAAACAGAGCCACCGCACCAACGCGCCTAGTTCTTTCTTCCTCTCTTCGACCAGCCTTTTCCCTGGTGTTTCACCACTCGAGAATACATTGAGAAACTTCTCGCCTTGGATGAGCGCCTTCTGAGCTGGCTGGTATAGTGATTTGATTTGAGGACCGGTATCATAAGGTGGTGTCACGCGACTTGTAGCTTCTTCGATTCGGAGTGCGTTATGTGCGGTTTGCGTATGAAAGCCCGGGCGGTGCATCTCAATGATGGTCCAGAGAAGGGGTTGTACAGCAGAGTGGTAGGCTTTGGAGACGCGGACCATTGCACACAGGTCTCTACTACAGAGGTGTTCCGTTATACATGCGAAGACATCAGTCGACACTTGTTCCATTGGGAACGGCATTCTTGCGTGGTAGCGGTGAGGGGCCTTAGAAGTCAAGGGATATCACCCAGTTGCCCAGCTCAGTAATAGGAATAGGAAGCAAATAAGGGTGGTGCAAGGAAGGCAAAGAAGCCAATGTCTTAAAGTAAAGTACGACAACACTACATCAGTGGAAAGCTTTGCGCGGTAGAGATTGCTGTGAAGCTACCTAGGTACCACGCCACATGTACTACCACGCCGCATCAACGTCAACAAGAGCGTCAATCGGAGTGCATACAGGGACTAGCGCTTATGCCGAGCCATGTATAGGATCTCGTTCCTGTCCAGGACAATACGCTAGGCCAGATGTGGCGTAGACCTGGTTGTCTGGTTGTGGAGTCGGCATTGCGGTCAACACATCAATGGAGGACATAGTGATTGAGAAACCGATATTGAATACAGAGGAGTGCTCATAAATTCGTAATGTAAGACGTAAAAAAATGGCCGTAGTGTTCGTACTGATCTGGTGTTCCCCGCGCGTACGATCCGCTGAAACATTGACAATATGTTCTTTTCAACTTCAAGATCTTGCACATACGACCACAGGATCTTGAGAGCAAGGCTTCCCGTTCGCTCAGCCATATTTAAGCAAGATACCGGCGGATTAGTACTCGGGTGGGTGACCACCGGGGAATCCCCGCTGTTGTATGTTTTTGAAGTTTTGAGGGATCTTTTTTTGCATGTGGGGCGGCCGGCGCATGCATGTTTTTGACTTTTTTGCTCTTTTTTCTAACTAGCAAATTGTTATTAGTCTGGTCTTATCGTGCCTAGATCGAGATAAACTGCCTATTTACGTACTATATGTTAGACAAGAACGAAGTCTCAATACCTGGGAGTGCTACCTTTTGCGCACAGCACTGGCTCACTACCTATCAACCTATGGATGTAGCTTTCAACAATGAACTATTTCTCTTGAATATCTTGAATAGTTTGGTCCAGCTCTTAAGCATAGGGCTTGAGCACCAAAGGAGCGTTTCTTGTAGAAATGCTTTTGAACATTGCCCATTTTCTCCTCGTGTTCGCGTTCATCCCTTCCAACTTGATCAAGCAAGGATCGCAGGCCATCGTAGTGTTGAATGTCGACGAGTTCGAATCGAACAAGGAGGGCGACCTATATTCCAGGCATCTGTCAATCGCTGGAGCCGCACGGAAACTGCTTGAACTTACCGTGATGAATCTAGGCAGCAGCAGGAGACAGTAGGGCAAGCAATAACAGGGGAACGATCTGACCGAATCCCATTTATGTGTCAATATCAAAGGGACATCGCGTGATGAGCCAGCCGACGCCGGAAAGCGCTCCAGGGCTGTAATGCTGCAAGGCTGATGTAGATGGAGTGGTGACACGTTCTTAGCGCGTTCGGCAGCGCGCGCTGGGCGTGCTCCGCGAACCGGTTCGTCGGGCTTACTTGGCCCCTGATTCCCCCGACTCATCACAACTGCATTCCTCCAGACGTAATAATCACTGACTCATGCTGCTATCCAAGTGTACTGCGCAATGTAATGGCATTTTTAATGACGATAAAGCGTGTGTATATATCTACAAGAATTCAAGCCATCAGGCTTTTTGACCCCCCTACTTTGCAAGCGCAATCCTTCAAGCGCTCTCAACGGTGATGCTAGCAGATCCAGAGCTCTGGTAGCCCTCAGTAGCGAGGATCATGTAGTAGTGCGTACCAAGCTTCTGTCCGTACTTGGCCCAGGCATCGAAGTGGTTCTTGACAGTGATGGTACCACCGACGCGCTTGCTAGTCCTGACAGACCAGTACTGCTGGAAAGTAGCAGTGCCGTCAATGGAAGGCTGGTTGGTGCGGGTGGTCTGGAGGATGTCGTATGTGCCACCGTCAGAGGTGACGGAACCCTTCTTCTGAGCAGCAGAAGAGGGGTTGTAAGAGCCGTAGGTCTCGACGATGTAGTACTCGACGAGCGGGTTGCGAGTCCATCCGTAAAGAGAGACGTAGGAGTTTACGTTGGCAGCGTTCCAGGTACCAGAGTACTTGACCACCTTGTCAGGCGAGCCGGGGTTCCTAACGAAGAGAGTTAGTAGAGTGGAGAGCGTGGGTTCTGAGGGTGCCTTACCATCCCTTGCCAGCAACGAAGTTACCAACGTTGGACCACTGGACATCGTACTTTCCGGCAGCGCCGTTGTTGTAGGTGACCTGGCCTTGGTTGTCGGTCCAGAATGAGTAGAAGTAGCCGTTGTTGGTGCCTTCGCCTGGCTGGGTGGCGCGAGCAGTCAAGTTGGCAGACTCTTCCTGAGCACGAGCATCGAGGATGAGGCCGAGGGGCGAGGCGAGAGCCGCAGTGGCGCTACCGAGAGCGAGAATGATAGAAGAGAAGGCAACCATTGTGTTGATTCAAGTTGGAGATGCTTGGTGTCCTTCTTTCGAGGACAGTTGGGACTCTTATATACCAGTGGATGCGTTGTACCGTGCTGATCATTACCAGGGACCGCCAGTGAACTGCGGCTGCGGATCGAGGGAGCCTTACAAATTGGAGGGCACCTGCCGGGCAGGCGCACCTGGCGTATACCAGCCGTAGTAACTGTGGAGTGCATGGGAGCATGTCTACGTCCCGTCGCCGTGTGTGGAGCCGTGTCCTAAAAACAAGATCGAACCACCGGGTATTCAGGGTCTGAACGTAATGGTTGGACAGCTGTAGAGGCGTAGTTTTGAAACTCGAAACATTCATTTCCGCTGGAGATGCGTTCTGTGTGGACCTGTCATGCTATAGGCCCGATGTACTGTGGTGCGACAAGAGTGGAGCTGAAAACGTCTTGGCCAGTCGAGAAACATGCTGACCCGCTGCGTTCTGGATTGATCCTCCGTATCTTCGAAAACCATCTTATCGTCGCATTGCTGTACCTGAAAGTGTGCATGTTGATTTGCACAAGCTTTTGCATCCTGATTAAGCTCAGTCAAGCACCGCGCCAACCCACGATGCATGCAGTCAAGCCACTTTATTTCCGCATCATCAACTTATTTGCATTTTATCCAGCTGGGCATGCGACATGCTCAGATGACCATAGGTGATATATTCACCGATGGTGTTGGCAAAAGCATTTGGTCCCAGACCAAGCATTTAGCCGGTCACTTAGCATTGTCAGCGCATTTGTAGCGAAGATCGTCGTGCTTAACTGTCTCAGCCCGGTTGCTTCGTCATGGATACATTGCGCCAAGATCTTTCCAAGATTCTTGGAAGCCGGAGATTAACATTTTGAAAGTACGGTGACATGATGCCAAGAAGTGAGGCAACGATGTAGTACGATTGATATTAATCTGGTGCCGGGACCGATATTCATTGATGGGTATGCCGGTTGACAGATGGGACTACACAATGTGCTCCCTTGGGTATCTCGAAATGAAGAAAGTATGACGAAGGAAGATGCCGGCTATTGAGGTCCGCATCCAGATCAACGTCGGTCGTTCCACAGTCGATCGATAACCTGGAAAACCGCCGTGATCAACTTCATAGTCTCGGAGTCAATATGCTGTCCAAATCGCTGCTGCATCTTGTCGGGATGCCAGCGCACGCGCTCCGCCTTCAGTAGTGACGCAGGGTCCTCCTTCCACGTCTTTGTAGTCCGGAAAAAGCGCTCTATTTCCTCCTTGGAGACGTGATTTGCTCTGCCAGACACTACGGGCCATGGGATCATCTCTCGGACCTTCGCATCTGTCTCCTTATCCAGACCTTGGGCATTCTTCAGGCTGTCCCATCTGGCCGTGTAACTTTCCCATGCAGCCTCTGCCTCCTTCGCTTTCTTCCGCTCCTCGCCCCGACGCAGGCTCTCTTCCATGCGGCGTCGCATGCTCTCTCGTTCTGCTTCCTCCCGCTCGAGTTCCTCATCAAGCTGGCTGCGTTGCGCTTTTCGTTTTTGACGCGCCCGCTCTTTTGCCTCGCGTTCTTCCACAATGTGCTGGTGGCTCTTCTCCCACATCTTCGTACGCACAAAGTCCGCATACTCCTCTTCCGTCATACGCTCCAGCTTTCCATCGGGGCCGGATTTTGTGTCGGGATATATGTGTACGGGCTGGCCATATACACCTTCCCAGTACGCCGCACCTTCATCGTCGGCAAGCGCATCGAACAGCGACTCGCGGAAAGCGTCATCGGGAGCTGGGCCTGGAGAGCCTGTACCTAGATCCTCTAAGTTGTCGTATAATGATTCGCGGTGACGGTAATCAGGGTCGTAGTAGGCGCCGTCTCGTGTGGATGTCGGGTGACGATCTTGGTCGGAAGAGCGATGCTTGTGCTTGTGTTTGCGCCTCGAGTCGCGGTGGCTGCGCCGTTCTTCGCTGGTACGATCCGACCTGTATCTCTTGGAAGTATGGTCATCGGTATCTTCGTCCTTGCTTTCGCTTTTGTGACGCTTTGAGCGATGTTTGGGCCCAGACTTGAAGTGAAATCGTGACGCTTTGGCCGTGGTGTAGAGGCTCTCCGCCGGTGGATCGCTAGCCTGCTCCTCCATGATGAGGACTATGGTGGTTTAATCGACATTCATGCATGAGTGATATTTGTACAAGGTGTGCGGTTTGACGTGTCTGCAGTCATTGCGAACCAAGGGACGTGGATTGCGGAGAAGGCGCGGAGGTGTCGATGATTTCACTGGTCGCGCGCGCCTTGGCATGCGACAGCCCAATTCGCGGTCGCGACTCTGACACCATCCCAACTCAACATCAACATGTCATTCAAATTCGGACTCAATGTGAAGAACAAGGGCGCGGATCCACTCGCGAAATCGGCCGCCAAGCCTTCTCTGGGGAAGAAGAAGAAGCCGCTGTTCGACGAAGAGGAGGAAGATGCGAAAGGCAAATCCAAAGCGACGGACGGCGCCCAGGAAATCGGCGAGCTGAACTTCGAAGACACTCTGGCCGCTATCTCATCAGAACCCTCGAAACCAGCGC